TAAATTGACTCACATTGATTACATAGCTTAACTAATTCTATTATATTTCCTTATTCGTCCCTGTCTGAAATTGACGTTATTACGTTTCTTACATAAGAAGTTCATCATTACGTTTATTCGCAAGCAGTTATACTGTTCATTTGTCCTATTCGCGATACTTTCGTCTATACTCACTGATAAATCAGAGATAATATAGTCTGTCTTTTCCGAATGAGAACAAACGGAACTAAGTTATACGAATAATCGATTCTTCGTAATGAGACATAATAATGAAGTGAAGAGAACGAAAATGAGACAGTTCTTCTTTCTGCCGCTTCGTATGCTTCACATTAAACGTATTCGTTCCATTCGACTTCATTATGGCCCATCTCTACTTGTATGTAAAGTTGAACTTTACTTGTTCAGAATTTTCTAAAATTCTGAATTCTAGGGGTGAATGTGGGGGTGAGGGTGAGGATGAGTGCGAATAAGCAACTTTACATGTATGTAAAGTTCAGAATTCTAGAATTCTTAACTCTACAGATAATAGCAATGTATGAACTTTGCATCTTGTAATTGTAATCGCGCAGCCCTCATATAAAACATTTATTTAATCAATTTGAAACTTTCTTGCAACAAAGGACTAGTCCGCATCAGACTTGTAATTGGATCACTAAAAATATTTTAGACTTTTCCCTAGGTTGTGCCACTGGCACTCTTGATCACTTTTTCTATGAAACTAAAGAGGATCTCTAATCATTCATATATTATTTGATGCGTCTTGAAAACTACACAATGTGTTAATAGGGAGCTTAACGGAGCCCGGTAACGGCCTTTATGAATTAATGCTTTCCCACTTAAACCGAATAGAACTTGTACATCGTATTCTATTTTAGTAACTTCTGTGGAAGATATGTAAGACACGTGTTTTATATTTTCTTAAGAGACGGTCTACAGACTCATAGAGTTTACGTACGAAAGTCCATAATATAGCTAAAAATAGATTTTGTTTTAACGTCGCTCACTCGATTCTCCATTCAAAGTCACCTACAAATCTAAATTTTCGGATCTCATAAATGTTTTGTTATCCAGTTAAGAAATTTTTAAAAAATGAGTTAAATTTTTTTCTCAGAAAAATGACTGTTCGCTTATTTCGATTATTTTTCATTCGTTCTGTATTTCGAAACTTTTGAATATATATCAATCGAAAGAGAGCAGAAAACTGAAGAAAATGTGATACTTTTAAAGATATTAGAAATCAGACATAGATTCAGAAAATTAAAAAGATAAAATTCTGAAATGAAATTTTTTTCTAAAACAAGGTTCTCGACACTCAGATATTAAACTTCCAAAAATAGAATTACTACATCTTGTAGAATGTAATTCTATACAAAATGAACTATTTTTTATCCCTAGAGAACATCAGGCTAGTATTCGAAAATGCTGGACAATGAGTACCATTACAATTAGTGAAAAAGTTGAATTTCTTGAAATCAACGTTTACAACATAATAACATGTTTTATAATAATTTAGTTTTTATTACTTCAAAACACATATTTAAAGCATTCGTATGATCATTCATCTGTGAGTGTTTATGGTGCATGGTAGTCTTATTTCTTTTTTTTAGGCGAAAAAGGTTTTTGTGGTGCTATTGTTGGACTTGCACAAAAACGTGTGGATGATGAAGTAAAGGGATGGACACAATAGAGGACCCAGGTCTTATGTCGCGTCCTAGCGCTCATAACTTTGAAGGGGGTCTTCTGAAGCGTCCCTAAAAAAAGCTGATTGTAAGCTGAAATCGCTTGATCGAGGGTTCGTACTGTGTACAAAGCTGTGTACGCACACATCGGAACATGCCGGAAGTTGGTGGAATTCGGTAAAATCCGGCAGCAACCATACCGGATCAAGCCGAAAATCCGTTGCAGGGAATCTGTGCCGGAAGATGTTAGAAAAGATCCGACCGGACCCGACAACTTCCGGGACCTTCCGGCTGATGAATCGGATTTGGCAGAATGTGACCAGTTTTAAGGTTAAAAATAGTCTTCAATTTTTTCTTTCATTTTCTAGTGGTTCTTCTCTCTGTTCATTCGAGAGAGTGGAGGGACCCGCTAGCTAGGACGTGTATAACACGTCTGTTGAACAGTGTCAGCGATGACTGACATTGTTAAGAATTTGAGAAGAACAACTTCTCATTTTTCATTCTCTGCAAAGTCGTATTTAAAGTGCTCCTGTCGTGAAGCAAAACGGTGAATATATTATCCACACTGGAAAGAAAAAACAATAAAGTGCACATCACAGGATCCGTCGATTTCCCGTCACTGGAAATTAACGGATCCGCCTGGTTCCGGATATCTCCGAATCCTCCAGGAAAAAAATATCGGAACGCGAAGGAATTGAGCAGATTCCGATCTCCAGAAATCACCAGAATTAAAAGGATCCGATCGGATGAATTCGACCTGTGAACAGCTGACGGAAAAAACGAACGCAAAGATTAGTGTTTGATTGAACCCCAAAATCAACATATTTTAGGTCAAAAAATCGATAAAAGATAGGGATCTTCTAAGGTGGTTTTTGCGTTATGAGTTCACGAGGGGTCTTGTAACAGGGGGGAGTCTTCTATCGTAGGGGGTCCTCTATTGTGTCCATCCCTTTATGCTTTTTGGTTGGAACAGTGTGTCCAGCTTGATCTCGAAATTTTTGCTTATGGTATTGTGAATCAATATTTTCATAGTCTAGTGTATCGACAGATACGTGTTGTATGGCCTTTGGATCTTCTTCATCGGCATCTAGTGAATCACCTTTAAGAAAACCATATATGAGATCATCGTGATCGTGTTTTTTGTAGAGTTCTAAAAGAAATGCATCGGACGAGATTTTATCGTAACTCCGATTCATCTTGACAATCTTTTGCCAATAGCCCATTGTTCTCATCGCCTCCTTCTTCAAGAACATATTGACTATAATTATTTTCTATTATTGGTTGTTGCTGTTTATCTTTCTTTTTTAGTTGTTCAACTGTCGTTTAACATTTGTTGACTAACATCCAGATAAAGCTGTTTGATTAATTTATAAGCACTTTTGTCATTATTCTGATCAAGAGACTCTGAGGATGTTAGCGAGTTAATTAATGGAGCTGTGGTGAAATGCATTTGAATATATCTATGATTGTGGCTGGCACATATTGATTCACCGTATTTTTAATAATTAAACCGGTGACCTGTTGTAAGAGTAATTCATGCGTTTCTTGGATGTTGGTAGGTAGTGATGGCGTTAGTGTTTTTAATCGTGCTGAAATATCGTGAACAGCATAAGCTGTTTTAGCATCACGTGCAAGTTTGACGGATAAAATGCCTGAAGTAGTAAGCATACAGCCCTAGTAAAAATCTTAGTATTTCTTTTAAGATCTTCATAAAATGATTCAAGATCTATTATAAAAGAACGTAATAGTTCTTCTAGCAGATTTTCATTCAATCTTAAAAAAGAAGTGAGGCGGATAAGACCACTTTCCGTCCCCAATATTTTCGAAAAAGAATTACATATTCGGAATCAGCATCAAATTCTACATCGAATGGTATATTTGATTCACTCGAAAATCCACTTCTATTTTTTTCGAAAATTTTTAACTTCTATTATTACCACTATACTTTCACTTCGAAAAATTCCCTTGGAACTTCGAAAAACTTTTTCTCCCAGATTTCAATGAGAGATACATCATTCGATGCAGAATTTCATGCTTCTTACGAGTATCAGATCGAAAGATGCAAAAAGTTGAGCCTTGACCGAAATAATTGAGTTTTACCGGAAGGTGGCGTTGGTCACCTGATTGAACAGATGCGGTTTTAGTGCCTCAAGGTGGTGTTTGATAACATTCAAAATCAATTAGATATACTCAAAAACTTTTAAGATCATAATTCATATAATTCAATTAGATATCTTCTCTGATTTTTAATTCAATCCATCTGAAACGCCTTTTTTTTATAAATAAAAAGCTTTTAGCGAAACCCTTCGAGATTAAAACGTAAAACACGATGTAACTGTTAATTCTGATTACAAAAGATTATTATTGTATCTATATCTGGACTCTTTCTTTCATTATACTTTAATGTATCACCTAGAAATGGGAAACGGAAACAGCTCATAGATTTTAACGAGATTGTAGTCATATATGGTCTTTGATCGTACGACGACAAGGTCCATCACAGTCTATCACGACGTCCACTGGTGTCTATCGAGGTCTGTCATAGCTCCGCCTCTCACTCTTCCCTGCATTTCTAACACCGTTTGTGATGGATCCAAAGCATGTCTCTAAGGGCTCTGATTGGTAATTAACTATTTAGACTGTAATTAGCTAATTAATTAATTAATTAATTAAAATGTCTGCGGAAGGAGTCCAACTTTCTATCCTTAACACTTCAACACTCCCTTCAGATCGTGTTTCACAAAAATATAGAAAAACAAAACTTCGATGCGAAAAAGTTCGACGGCTTCTAAACATACATTAACTTAGTTGTTTGCTTAGTATAGTATTGCAAAAAAATAAGGTACCTGGTAAAACCCTTGAAAATAATATGAATAACGTAATAATACTTTTCTTTTGGGTAATATTGTTGGAAGTCAAAATATTACCTTAGAATTTTTCCTACTGTAAAATTAACAGCCGAGATAACTAAAATAGTCATTGATTCAGTTGAATGATATCGAAAGGCGTCAAAAATCTGGCTCTGATAGGGGTGAAAATTACCTGATATAGATGGTATGTATCAATGATCTCATTTTGTCTTGAACAAACGTTACAAGCTGAACATATAAGTGTAAATTCGTCCAGGTTATTCAATATGCAATAAACAACCTCAACGGGTAATGTCAATAAAGATCAGACATTGGAAACTTAGTACAATACTTGGTACTTTTCGTACTAAGTACAATGCTCTCGCTTCTGAAGCAATCCTTTTAGGTATTCTATTTTCTATTTTTCCTTCTTTGCATCGAAATCATTCGCCTGGGAGCGCTCTATTTTGTTGTAAGCTAATGTTCCGTGATCAACAGTAAATAAAATAGCTAAAACTTATTTCCTTCATTTTGTTATCTGTTTTTCTCACTAAATAAGGTATAAATGCACTGGCGCAAACAGTGCATTCAAGCCAACAATTTTACAACTTATTTTTTAGTGTTTATGGGCATTGATCTGGTTTATCCATATTAGCACAGAAAAATGCATTTTATTCTCTTTGCCACTGCGATACAAGTGAAATTTAATATTTTTATCAAATATTCTCTGTCGACTGTGTGTCAGCCAGTACAAATAGTGTGTCATGTAGAACTCGACGAGATCTATTCAAATGCATGTGCTGCACTCAGTTATTCAATTCATATTAGTGGAGAAAAGTGCAGTTTATGCGTTTTGCTACTGCGATACAAGTGAAATTTAATATTTTCATGAAATATTCTCTGTCGAACGTGTGCAAACAAGGAAAAGTAGTGCCATATAGAGATCGACTAGATCTATCGAATTATATCTTGATCTCGTTTATTCAATCCATATTACCTGAGAAAAATACATTTTATTCTTTTAGCCAGTGCTGTGCAAGTAAAATTTAGTGTTCGCACAAAGTGAGTGTTCGCACTCCGAACTACAAAATGAGTCACCCACCACTTTATAGAGTTTTGAAAGAGCGTTCTTTCGATATATAACGTAGACCGCAACCTGGATTCGTTCATGGTGAAAAAGTTAAAATACCATCGTGCACTATGCTGAAAAGGGTATGTTTAACAGTAATATTCCCAAAACGTGGATGTGAGCAGTGTACATAACAATTGAGCAATAGATAGTTTTGTTCGCCGTTTAAGGCTGCATCGGATGGTATATAAGACTTTCCTTCAAACTTGTTGTATTCTGAGAAAATTATGAACAACGCGCCGAAATGGGCTCGCGGAGTTATTGGTCAAAGCTGATCGATTTTCTCACAGGTATGAGGTCCAAACGGGAACCAAGGGTGTAGAACGCCATAAAATTGTATGCTCTTCTATTCTAGATACCTTTCGAGAAGATCGGAAATGAGGCAGATTCTCGTTCTTATTTTTTTTCTCTGTTTTTTAGAGTAATTTATTGTGAAAGTACATTAAATGTTTCTGTTTAGACAATAGGCCTGTAGCAACAAGTGTAAATGTTAAAACTTTGGTCAAAACGATACATTTTACATTTAAAATGTTTGTTTTATCAGCTGCGCCTAGAGATGGGCACCGGGACCAAAAAAGTTCTGGTCCCGGTAAAAGGTTTGATTGCCGTTCCATCACCTTCACAGTTAAAATATCATTTAGCCGTGCATTTTGTAGAGAAATGTTTGCTCTTTCAGCTTATATATTCTAAAATATACCACAGATCTTCGTTACGAATTAATTTGACAAATACAATGACCGGGACCAATCTGGTCCCGGTGATCTTGGCCCCGGTCATGTATTTGCTAAATTGATTGATAAAAAAGACTCGCGAAATATTTTAGAATATATAAGCTGAAAGAGCAAACATTTCTCTACAAAATGCACGGCCAAATGATATTTTAACTGTGAAGGTGATGGAACGGCAATCAAACCTTTTACCGGGACCAGAACTTTTTTGGTCCCGGTGCCCATCTCTAGCTGCGCCAGAAGAGAAAAGGACGATACATAAAGCACGCACGCCGTCCTTCTGCTTTTTTTCTTTCCCTAATGTGTATAAATAGAGTTTTAGCGTATAACGCATCTTCTTTATCTAACATACGACAAGATGCGCACTTCTGTTCTGGCGCAGCTGATAAAAGAAACATTTTAAATGTAAAATGTGTCTTTGTCGACCAAAGTTTTAACATTTACATTTGTTGCTACAGGCCTAATTCTTGTTCGGCTTTAGTAGTTTTATAAAACTTCTTTTATAGAACTACTAAAATGCATAGAGAATATAACGGTGTTTTCCCTAATTTTCTCAAAACGTGATATAATAAACTGAAAAGTGTGTCTGTTAGAGACAGAACAAATAAATGGTTTATGCAAGTTTGTTATATGCATCGTTGTTGTTCATTGCAGTTAGTATTGAAAGCAATTGAAAGCCTTGTATAAACTGACTCATTATATGTTTATTCAACAAAATGTTTTTTATTGATGATCTCTCGAAGCATTGTAATGTTAAATAGAAACATTCGGCAGGTAAAGTACACAGACCCCAATAATAAATTTATTCTCTTTCTAAACTTGTACAGAAACCGTAACAGAAAAATATTAATAAGAACAATAATCTAAAGAACTTGATCTAGAGCACGCTTGCATAAATTTTCATATAAAATTACATTATTTGATGACGAAGAAATATGAATGTAAGATGACAGCCCTAAGACTTTGAAAATGAGATCAACAAATAGACCATCGTCTTCATCAATGTGTACTTTGAAACGAGAATTTATGCAAACATATGAAATCAACTTCTTTAGGTTATTGTTCTTATTAATATTTTTTTGTTACGATTTCTGTAGGTTTGAAAGAGAATTAATTATTATTGGAGCCCGTGTGCTCTACCTGTCAATTTGAAGTACATGAGTTGTACTATATATTCATATGTTTTCCAGAAAAAGGTCTCTTTTAGTTTCTGAAATATTAGACTGGCAATATTAGTGATTAACGTTTGATAAATCATAGTTTCTTATTTTATATTCAGCAGTTAGATAAATCCTTTTTGATGACGATGACATTCCGATTTTCTTTTCTGGTCGCAAAACTTATAGTTTTGCGTTTCATTTTAGTAGTTGTGCCAATATTAGATGACTACCCCTTCATAAGTTATCTGCGAGCCACAATTAATTAGTTCAAATTTACTATTAATCATTAATAGTAAATTTGAACTAATTATTTTCAGCCATTTTGAACCATTTGGGATCATGTCTGTTTTAACCAAGCAAAATTTATCAATATTTCTATGTTAGAAGCATATCTTATGATCAATGCTGCTAAGCGAAAAGAAAGCTTTTTTTACAAATAGATGTATTATATAGAAAGATCAATTGAATGTCAAAATTAATTCATTCATATATCAATAACCACTTGGTCGCATGTAATGAAAGTCTAGAATATATGTGATGAAGTGTCTTCTATAAAAAGTACTAAACAAGTATAAAGCGAACATAGCACTGTCGGTTGTTCTATATTTTACATTTTAATTTGAAGGTCGCATATTGCTCGTAATATTTCATCAAAGAAAAAACGAAATATTTGTGTCTATAACTTCAACTTAGACCTTGCCAAAAGCATTTTCTTCTTCTACTTCATCTATCCTCAGTCAGTCTTTTACATTTGATTTTGTTTAACTGAGTGACAATATACATGAATAAATCATGAGAAATAATTTCAGATGATATTTATTTAGCCGTTGAAATTGCAATATTGAATGGATTATTTAACTGTTAACTTGTTATTCATTCTTACACTACTCAACTAAATTTTACACAGTTAACATATATACAAAAAAGGTTTAGTCAAACAAAATTTTACAATAATTGGATATCAAGTTGAAAAAATAATTTATATCAGTTACACACTTTTCACCCGATATATAAAGTTTTTATTTCGAAAATCAACTACCTATGTAATAAATTTAAACTATATTAAATCATATTAAGCACATTTGTAAGTCTCGAGGTATTGTATAATAAAGACTATATATACGTAATGTTCATAAATGACAGTTTAATGTATAGTTCTCAAAATGGATTATGAAAATGGTTAAGCATAGTTCAGACTGTGAGAAAATGATATACTCTAACGGATACTTGAATTCAACACCTTCGGGAAACTGTGACAAGCCCATCAGTTAAACTGTCGTGACCCAGCAGCTATATTCAGCGCGGTTAATCGAACTCCTGAGTTGGAGTCTTGCTTCGGTTAGAAATGGCAAATTTTATCAAAAAGTTCAGTATTGCGATACAGGTATGATGATAGCTCATAGTATCTACTTCTAGAATTATAAGCGTCGAAGGTTTTGAGTCGTCTCTAAAAACCTTGAAAAGTAAGTTTACAAAATCGTCACAAAACCACTTCATACAAACTTTTGAAGAATGTAAAGTTGTCATTCTTTCTCGTCAAAATATGTCCGGTAACATCGAACATGTTTTAATCAAAAGCCATGAGAGTCTCGCTATTAATAGCACTTTCTATTTTTAATAAACTTTTCCAAGTAGTATAGGCCACAATAAGCTCCTGCCGAGTCTCAATTTTTTCGTGAATTTATTTTTTATTACACTACGGATTTTCCGGGTTTAAACTAATATTTTGACTAACGAGGGAAGGTCCCAAGGATACAATAGCTTTTTGTGTAAAAGACATGGAACACATATGTAATCCATGTTGCTGGTTTTGAATATGATAATGAGACTGTTCCTTAGCCCTTTGGAAACCAGGTCATTAAGTCATCACCCAAGCAGACAAACATTTGGGAAAACGCGTTTAAAAGCTCAAAAGGGAACCGCGATTGTGAGTCAGTAACGCTCATTAAAAAAACTCAAGAAACGCGTTTTTTGCGCAAAATTTTCACTTTCAGACCGTAAAAACGGCGAAAACTCCCGTTGTTGAACGTTAAAACGCGCTTTTATTCCAGAATTTAGAAACAATGAGTTTTAACGCTCATAAACTGGAGTTTTCGCCGTTTTCACGGTCTGAAAGTGAAAATTTTGCGCAAAAAACGCGTTTCTTGCGTTTTTTTAATGAGCGTTACTGACTCACAATCGCGGTTCCCTTTTGAGCGTTTAAACGCG